TGTCGTTAGAATTAAAATCGATTAAAGTGGTGTAATCCAAAGTATACATTCCTCGTGGGAGCGACAATCCGGACTCTTAAGGTCCACTTCATTACTTGAACGCGACCCGTGCGCTTGCGGTATGATTTTCAGCGAACACAAGACACAAATACTTCATTACACGGAGAAGTCGAAAGTTTGAGGGTTGGGAAGAAAGATGCTGACTTGGCTGCTAGAAAAGCGATAGATGGGCTAGCTGAGTTGGTTCGCGAGAAGCTTATGTTGGAAGAAGAACTTGAAAACTTGAAGAAATCTTTTGGGGCTCAGATTACTTTTCTAGAGGATTGTCTGGAGAATTGCCAACTAGAAGTTGAAATAGCCACTAGAGCCTTTCTTATGAATGATTATAAGAAAGGTAAACATATTAGTTGAGATGTGGACAAAATGATTGCTGATTATGCTGAATTGTGATTGATGCTTGGTATGCCAAATATGGTAGAAGAGCAGCTCGAAATCAAGGCTGCGTCTGTGAGGGAGTCGGGAATGCTGATGATGAGCAAGCTGGAATCCCTTTGGTAACACATTTTCCAAGTATGCTTTTAGGCAGGCATTTTCTTTCGGACTTATGTATCTGTGTTTGTATGAGCGTATTTGAACTTATGTCTTTCTAAATTATGTAATGTGTTGACTTATTGGGGTTGTGTACAAGACTACCTAAAAACTCGATGAAATATTGAACTTTAGAATTTCATTCGAAGTACAATGAAATCATACACAAATTTATGATCATAACAATATTCAAATAGAAATCAGACTCACTTCCCAATTTAAAAGATAAAATAGACTCATAAACGCATTTTTACAAAGGATTTAATTAGTTCGATCTATCTGATTTGGTCGGTAATGTTATTTGTTGGCTAGAAGGCCATCCTAGTTCGAATGCAGACGAGACTTCATTCGGATTGGTATGATGGTGACGATAGGACCACCCTTGTCTAGATGGCTTAAAGGCAACCATGTGGTCTTCTTCACCCAA